TTTTGTTGTCGGAAAATTCGAATTGTCGGATGTTCAGAGAATCCGGATAGAACTCTCAGCCCTAATATGTTTTTGAAGAATATGTACATTCGTTTTCTACCTTAGTTCTCTTCGGCTTACTATTTGCAAGTTCAGAATAATTAAGATCATTAGTTAATAACATACTTCACTTTAAATAAAATGATAGTTATAATTTTTTAACCGTGGATTCGTTAAAAACGATTATAGCGTCATCTGTGGATCAGTGGCACAGTTCTTGTTCTTTTACATATATACATATGTATATATTTCAGACCGTGGTGCCACCTTACATTTTTGATTTTCATGTTTTGAGAAACTAGTAAGCCAAGTCGCGAACTTCGGCGACTTCTAACATTTATTGCCTAAATGTATGCTACAGGCATTTAAAAAGGTACATCACAACCCAATAAACATTTTTGCTAAATCTCAATTTGAGAATCGGTCCAATTGAGAAATGTTGTATTCTCAAGGTACATTGGAACAGGTAGTATCAGTAGAGCAGCTGATTTGATTTATTTTCAAATTATTTGGTCTCGAAAATGTCAAATATTTTTAATTTTTTCTCACAAAAATTCTGAATTGTTAAAATCCATTTGCATGTGAAACCTTTTCCCATACAACTCGGCAGCACGACCGCTGATTACTGGGCCTTGCAAAGGATGGATCAATGCTTCGAGAAGCAAACAAATTTACTAGGAAAGAAAGTTGCATCAATTTTTATTTTTTCCAATTTCATTTTTTTATTTTTTATAATTTTTTGTATTTCACATGGCACGCTTTGATTTAGAAGAAAAAATTCAGAACAGTTTTTGACACTTTCGATACCAGAAGCAACAACAAAATATACGCAAATATTGTTTTTGCTCTACTGATACTACCTGTTTAATGTGCCTTGTGTATTCTCAACTTTATCTCAAACGCGAGTGGAGCGGAACGAAATGAAATCCAGTTACTCTCTTTGAAATATTTGTATAGTGTTACCAATGATACATGTAAGAGAAACACAGTTTTTTTTATAGGAAATGAATTTTTATTTATGCAGTTTAACAGTTTTTTTAATAGCTTATTTATTCAGTTAGTTTAGCAAAGAAAAATACGGTTGATGTAAAAAATTAGTTGCATAGTTTGTTTTGAAATTTGTAAAATTGCGAATAACAGAGCCATTTTGCGACTGATGTAGCAGACTACCGATGGACTTGGACATCTGTGGCATGTTGACACAGATGGAACGGAACGGAATGCTAACAATTTTTTTCTCAAATGTTTCTCAAATCGTTCTTAAATTGATACACAGGCTGCATTTCTTTATTCATTCTGAACGTTTGGAATAAACTTTTTTGTTTACTTATTCTTTAGAACGTTCCTGATGATATGTCAACGTATATTTCAAACGCATTCTGTTTATTCCGGCTGTGAAATGGGATTATCCGGAATGTATAAAGAAACGCAGCCACAATGTTAGAGAAAAATTTTCAAACGTTTGGGAAAATCGTATTGCTCAATTAGATTTTCAGCATTGTTTATCATTTGAAACTAAACATTTTCTCAAATTTTTCTCAAACATTGTTTGTGTTGTATTTCAGTTAGCATTATTGGGCTCCTCAAGAGCCTTATACGTGACATCATGTATTTAAGCCTGCTCTATTTGTGACGAAGTTAAGCCAAGCGGTTTCCAATACCTTTAAAGCAGCTTGGCTATCACAGCAGACCTTTGTTTTAATGTCCGCACATAATCTTCGTGGCCAGAGTTATGCCTAGATATTTCACTTCCCCAGAAAAGCTTAGGTTTAAGCCTCCAAGCACCCGACATTCCAATTTTCTTTTCCACATAACCATTTTTTTTTGTCGGAACCAGGCAGGCTAAATACATGAAATCCATAAAGAGGTATTCATAAGAGAAATTTGCTAAGCGTACGTATGTACGTACATATATAAGTATATGCAACCAACCAGCTATTCACTTTGAAGAGCTTAGCGGGTACTCTGCCTACAAAGGACCTTTTTGTTTTATTGCCGTGTTAACCTCATCTTGATCTAGTGGATTTACGTAAACTTCGTATTTTGAAAGGCGTTGAAAAATGTGGCTTTAAATTGAGAGCACATAAAAATATTTAATTGGCCTTTTCCCTGGTTTTCTTTATTATTTCAACTTTCTCCTCTCACTTACTACTCATAAAATCATCGATAATATCACCCAATCGCGCTGAAATCAAATGCAACGGATTCTCTTCGCATTCAGCCGCATAGTGTTCACAAAAGCCATCAGCACCGTCCACTTCGGCTTGATAGTAGGAAAGTGGCAGATTTTCGTACTCAGATGTGCTTGGACTGAAAATGATAAATGAAAGTGCTTTTAGCAGCAGCTAAATTGGGTTGTTGAAACAAAGTTTACTCACGAAAAAAGTATATGAACTAATGTGCCCAGTATGCCGTTGACTTCACCTAGACTTGAGAAGTTTGTCTCGCAAATTAAACTTAGTAGGCAGGGTTCTCCATTGTAGCCGCTTCTGAAAAATGGAAAATATTTAAGTAAAGTAATATAATAGGAGTATTCACACAATAAATAACATTACAGGTATTCACCAAATTGAGCAAGTGGCCTAACAACGACTGTTTTGCCAGAGTGCCAGGCCACTTGCTCAATTTGGTGAATACCTATAATGTTATTCATTATGTATGTAAATCGTATTTTTAGCCACATCATAAATATACACTTTTTTTTATGTTAAAAGAAAACTATGTTTAGTGAAACAGCTTAATCTACAAGCCTATGCATACATGTATGTATGTATGTAGTTACAAACAAACACATTGAACAGAAGATTTAAGCGACAAACTCGCTATAGAAAGTTCTTCGTAGCGCAGGCGAACTCATTTTTAACCGACTTCAAAAAAAGGAGGAGGTTATGAATTCGCCAGAATATTTTTTTTTTGTTTAACTTTGAAGCACGTTAACCGATTTCTATAACTATTTTTCTTTTCTTTTTAAGGAAAGGTTTGGTTAGAATTGAAGTCCGTTTTGTTTTTTGCTTAAAAATTTACTTGTTATTATTAACTCTTTTTCTTACTATGTACGTAGGTGCAGACTAGCATTTGGAGTTAGGAATAAAAAGCCCATAGAAGTGCTAGCCTAGTTTAAAAACCTTCGAAGGTATGATCAGGTATGGGGTGAATAGTCATGACGACACAAGAGGCCGCGGAGTACATATTTGGCACATAATAATGTTAAAAATTTGTTTGTGAAGAAACCAAAATGATAAATAGGGCATTTCTACTTATACTAAGGCAAAGATAGTACTTATAATACATATATTTGCTGCGAGCATGCAGCATTTGCGTGTGTTAATAATTAGAGTGTTTACAGTACATAAGTAAATATGCTTATATGTACATACATACATATATTAAAAATACCAAAAACCTAATTGATCATAATGTGGGCCAATATTCATCGTCGAGATTCACAGAGAAAGTGTGAACTGAGAAATTTACACTAATCTTTTTTAAGCAACAATTTTTAAGCAAAAAACAAAACTGACTTCAATTCTAATATACTAATTTAAGATTGTCGTTAATTTCATGATACAATGATCGGATGTAAACCAAATTAGTATGGGACCACCTCTGAGGTACCACCTTTCCTTTAAAAAAAGCATTATAGAAATTGGTTTACGTGGTTCAAATTTATGCGGTAACATACATAGAAAAAATATTTCGACAAATTGATAACCTCCTCCTTATTTTAAGTCGGTTAAAAATACTTCCATTTCTAGCCTACTTACTTTTTGAATAGATCACCGAGTATATGGTAGACGCGTGTGCGCGTTAGCAAGGAATTTATTGTACTCTTTCCCCTATGCTGATGCCGTGATTCTGCGCTCCCATTGTCGGTGGCATTCACCTTTGGCTTTGTTGTTGTTTTTGTAACAGTAGTGGTTGTTGGCGCTTTTATAGTTGTTGTTGTGGTTGGATCCGTGCAGTTAGCACAACTAGCAACTGACTGTGGCATTTGGCGCGCAGCCTCAGGCAGATTGAAAATGTCATCATCTTCAATACCAGTCTGAAAAGAGGTTTTACTCACAAAATTATATGTTTAAACAACCAACACATTGGGTACTACTAACCGCAATCGGTGGTATACCCCATGTATCGGGTAAATTATAGTTGGCTTCAAAATTATATGACAGAAAGACATTACGATGCGGCAATTCCAATGGCACTGCAATGGCGAAAATAAGCTATATTTATAAAAAAAAAGTTACTTGGTGAGCATTCAACAAACGCGAGTAATATACATATCTAATCATAAATAGCTTCTGATACTTACACCAAGTACGGTATTGGTGGGAAAAAAATAGAGTGCCAACACACAAGTTACAACAATATAACAAACTTAGTATTATTAAGCACAAAGCTGTAATTCGCTGGAATAAAGCCATTTCAAAAATCTATGACTCGTTTTTTCGTTTTCTTTTTTGTTTTAAATAACTAAAGAGCGCTTTCGCGTCCATTCACTTATAAATCAAAACTTCAACTAAATCTATCCTTCGACACACTGTTTGGAACGCTATACGTTCGGAATTACTGCTTGAGAATAAATACTTATATTTACTTTTTCATTCTTCAATTTGGAAGCAGCAAGACGCGTTAATGTGCTTCTAATTATAAATGTCAACAAACTCAATTTAATAGAGGCACGATTCTTAGAAAATTATTTCAACCTTCCCAACGCAAAGCAATGAATTTTCTCCATACTTTGAATTATCAATCAAAGTTCAATATTAACAGCACTCAGCATTTCACTTGCAACTTTAGCCTTAGGGTTTTCTCGAATCCAAATGTATGTCGGGTTGTTGGAAAGATGAAGAATATTGGGGCGTTTTCTTGTTTAACATAGAACATCCAAAGGTTAATCAAGTCAACCCAGTAACTCAATATTGGTAAATTTGCACATTCATGCTTCTATGACGATATGTATGTATTTTTAATGTAGTTTTTAATTCTAATTATCTTTTATTTTATATCAATGTTAACGAACTATTTAGAACATAATATTCTTTTCATTTTTGTGTAATTAACACAGGTTTACAAAAAAAAAAATCAGGTTTATTCAATGAATTTTTCCCTACTTGGCCTTCAATTGATCACGAACCTGACGTGATGAAGGCTAAGGGAACTCGGATTAGCATTCAGCATGCCGAACAACATACGGATATATAAGTTTGTAAACCTTTGTAATAATAGAACGAACAGAAAATTATGTTTGTATTAAATAACTGAACTGATAACTTATAAATTGTTTGAATAGGTGAAAGTAAACTATTTTAATGAGCTTTTAGCATTTATAATTATGTATATGTAGCGAGACTGCGTTGATTTTTAGGTATAGTTGACATTATTGCTGCTTTGTCGTTGCATACTGGTAACAACCAAAGCTGGCGCATGCAAATGAACTGACGGTTGCTACCTATGCTGGCGCATTTTGCGGTCCTGCCATGTAACAAATTTTGCATTTGCCGCCTGCAATAAACGATTCAAATGCTGCGTCAACGATGCACCCAATGGTGATAATTCATGCAATGCGCGACTCTGAAAAAAATGAAACACCATAAGAAAAATTTAGGTAAATAAAAATATAAATTCGGCGATCATATGAGATCCAAGCAAATACCTCGAACGGCACAAGTTTGGCCATTTTGAAACGTTGGAGAGCCTCGTGCATGCGCATAGCCTTTTCCTCGGCTTCTGCGGTTGTTGGTGGGAAGCTATTCCAGAAATGTTTCAACAATTCTGACAATGATAAATATAGATTACGCAAGTCCTTTTCGAAGTCAGGTGGCACTAACTCTATATAGTACAAACAAAAGTAAATTAGAAGAATTTAATTCTAGTAAGCCATATATATTCAATTAGCACTTACGTCCAGCTGATTGGTCATGGAAGCCACGCATAAGCGCACCACCCGGACTCAGCTCGCCGAGCGCATTTACCGCTGCCGTTGAGCTAACCAAAACTTTATGCGGTGTACGCTGTGTCCAAGTTTCTGTGGCACGCATTAAATGATACTGCACTTCTTCCATGCGTCGCGGGTCCTCTTGCATATCATAGCCAGTAATTGGCACTGGACCGTGTAAATAACGTTCCTCTTTTGCTAGTGACAGCTGTTGTGATTTCTTAGGTTTTTTATTGGCATCATTAGCATCAGCTGACTCTATTAGTGGATCACCAAGATCTTCAAAGTGTATTTTTTCCATAATACGTTGGCGTTTTGTTGGTCTAAGTGGACTTCCAGCGACAGCATTGGCTGCGACATGATTATCAGCATCAGTACCTTTGCCATCCTTTGAATGTTTTGATTTTTCAGTACCACCATTTGCAGTAGCATGCTCTGTGCTTTTTGCATCTTTAATTTTAGCAGGTCCATTGGCAGTTGAAGTAGAACTGCCAGCTACATCTGTGCATGTTTTAAGCACCATTATTGAGTGCTGATTAAATCGCTTTATCATATTCTGGTGCACAATGTTGCCACTATTCGCTATATTGCGATTTCCATTAACACTGCCGAAACCTTCTTCTAGCGGCACATCTTCAAACTGTTTAAGATCGAGCAGTGGATCTCCGGCACCTTGTTGTACTGCAGCTTTTAACGTTTGATCATCAATTTTCCCGCATTCCGTAAATATGTCTTTAGAGCCCGCTGTAATACGATCACGATGAAAATAATGCGACTGGAAAAACTTTGTCCAAAATTCCGCCTCCGACAATTTGGCTGGTACATTTTCTTGGTGCTTTCGCTTTACAGCGGGATAGGTCTTAAAAATACATAAGATTATGTCGGGTGTTAAATTATATTTCAGGCCGTTGCAACCATCCGTTTGTGGTTTGATATCAGCAAGAAAGGCACCAGATACACCTAATAATAAGTATGTGTTGTTGAAATCAAAAATGATATACCAGCCATAAATGAATTTGATACTTACCAATATCTTGCTTTTTGTTAACATTTTTCATGGCATGATCCTTGGCGTGTGTGGCCCAGAATTCTTCACTGGTGAGTACTTGTGTTATTACTAAATCCTTATAAAGTTGCAAAAGATTTGGATTTTCCGAAAGTATACGATTTTTCTCTTCCAATTCCTTATCCACTTTTCGTTTAAAGTTTGGCAACAGCTGCTGCAGCAGTTCTTTCACCTTATCACGGTCAGCCAGCATCGCCTGCTGGCCATTACGGTTGACGAAATGGAATGTGGAACTGTTACCGTCATGCAATACGACCTGAAGTTGCACCTTAGGCTTGCCTTCAGGTGATATTTTCTGCACTTTTAAGAAAAATACATTCAATCAAATATTTACTAGCTTTGCTGGACAATCTAATGAAGTATTTACTTTTGATATCGGCAAAGCGATGCGACACTGCAACAGTATCGCGGTTCTCTGCCATCCAAGCAAGACGCTCGTTCATTACATAGAGGGTACCGTCGCCCTTTTTGTAACGCACTTCACCCATTTGCAATAGCACGTCCTCACTGCTAGTCGTCATGCTATCAGCTTTTTACAATACCGTCGATCTTGAATTTCGATTGTCCCCCGCACCCAAAGATGAATACAGACCAATTAGGATGTATCAGAAATAAGGAAGCTGTATTTGGTTGGCTATCATAAAGGAAAGTTTAAAAACATATTATGTCCATACACATATATAAAATCATTTCATAATATTGCGACAGTCAGGTGCTCCATGGTTCTGGTCATTGTACTTTGCAATCATATTTACATATTCAGCACCGTTTTCTCTTAAACCCATTCATTTTCATGGACGGTATATGTTCCAGTACCACTTCCATTACGAAATGATTCTATTAATTGTTTACTAAATACTGAATTATTAATTTTTTGCACAAAGCAAATACCAACCAACCTTTCCTGGCCCCACCGTCGCCATTTGCAAATTTCCGTAGCGCTACGAGCTGTCATCGCGCTGTCAAACCGTCCACCAACAACTGCACTGAAAAATAAGAATAGGGTTCCCTTGCGCACCCTCTACGGAGTAGCTAGCGGAGTATCTGAAACCAAAAAAGGAACTAAATTTGTTATGAAGGGATACTTGAACAATAAAACTTTGATTTGAATTGTACAAATATCTGCACGGAGATGAGGTAATACAAATCATTTCCAGTTTTATATATATTTCTAGGTATATAATGGCATGCGTATTCGGGGTTAACGCAATCACCTGAGAATTGTCAGGCACAGTTTGATGTGTAGGTGCACCCTAGCTTGAAAATGCACTTTCATACAACTCTGTGTAGCGCTGCCGTACGTCTTTAAAACATTTGACACTTACAAGGCGACTACACTTTCAGTATTTCTTATTCAATGCATTTCCGCTGACAAACAGAAAATACTTTGGGCAATATAATAGGTAAAATAAACACTCAGAAAGTCTATGCATCACGAGTAAGAGGAATATTTCCAACTTACTCGTGGTGTGACCTGATTTTTGGCGAAATGGTATAAGATTATAAGAATTTTGCATTACATTTAAAGAAATACGTGTAATTAATGATAAGAAAAATTTAAATATTAAAGCGTTAGGGCTAATTTCAAATGAATATTTAAATGGCACTTAAGTTTAATTGTGGATTGTTGTTTAAATGCCATTTATCTTTCGTTTGTTTTCAGATCAATTTTGTTTATGGGTTCTTTCCCTAACAATCCGGACCGGATCCCGTAATTAGAGAATAAGCGGAAAGCTTGCTCTCAAAAATGGAACATAATCCAAAAGTACGGGAACGAAAAAATCACATTTCGTGCCAAGAATTTGAGATACAGCTTATTCGCGTTGTTTTTTTTTCACTTAAATACAAACTCTTGGAAACAGAATTTTTGTTTCACAAATTTGATTTTGAGAATATAAAGATTCAAAATGCATTCACTATTCCTTAAAAGCACCAAGCAAATGCAGGCAACATGTAAACACAAAACAGCTGATATGCACTTTGACGCTTTATCCATTTTTACCCGGAGAAAGATGTTTCGGACAGGAAGAAGAAGACACTTACGATCCAATACGTTCCAATTTTCGCTCTCTATTACCCATTTTGTTGAGTACGGGATTGATTTCTGGGCTATTTTGGGCACCCGAGGGATCCCGCGTTGCGTACGGGAAAGAACCTTATCTATGCCAAACAATTGGCAGCACTGCTGCTTGTTTATTGAAATTGTTGTTGCATTTGCTTGTTTGTTCACATTTTGTGCTGAACAGCTGATTGTTTTTTGGTGGGATTGGTTAAACAACCTACCAATCAATCTTGGTTGTTTGGTACAAACACACGGTTGCATATCTTATATTTAAATAACCCATGATGCAATAAACGATATTAACTCATACGTTCCTCCAAGGCGCAATATCCACCACCTTTTATGGATGCGCCTTGATGTTCCTCATTAAAGTTGGACATTTGGAAAGAGGGTGTTCTACTTTTTCCTGTTCATTGACCACAGAAGTCGTTGTAGGTAATGCTATGCCTTCTTGTGTGGTGGCCAACCTGTCAGTGCCCGGTATGAGTCGCTACTAGCCCCGCAACGTCAGGTCTGGGTTTTACTAATAAGTTGTGTATTCTCTTAGGGTTGTATACGGGCAACATGAGTTAGGATATTCGGCAGCCTACCGCCGCGCTTAAGTATAATTCTACAAATAGTACACAATAGTATCTCTAAGTTTAAACGATTTTTTTGTGTTGGCGGAAGTCCCCATTTTTTTGTCAAAGCTGTGCAACATTTCTTGTGCACATAAATCGGGCTCCGGTGTCACAGTAGTTTTGCATATAGCTCCATTCTGAGTAGGCGGGCTTCGAGAGAATACAACACTTACCAAGCAAAATTCTCCTTTCTGTATTGCCGAAGAAGAGGGGCAGGACACCTCTTCTGTTGTCAAGGGTATATACAATTTCTTGTGCAAATGAGTATTCAGCCCCTTTTAAGCGAAAAGCGCAAGTGAAAATTGTGATTATTGGCCATTTTTCGAAGGGCTCCCTAGGATTAATTTTTGTGAATGGCCTCTCTAAAATGGGGGGTAGGAGGTGCCACGCTCCTCGCCCATAGCCTACCGTCCCTTTAACCATCGCCCTTATAGGAAAGTATCCCAGTTTTTTTTTTATTATTACATACCACTTTTTAGCACGGCGTAAAGAATTTCATCACATGCAGAAATCGCTATTGATTCCAAATATTCTATTTGTCGCGTATGTGAACCATTTACTAAAAATAAATATATATATTTATGTATATACCTACATTCGACCATACATGCATACAAACTAATAAAATATATATGTATGTAAAGTATTCTCATTCTTGCAGTCGGTCGAAAAATTTTAAAGCGTCAGTTTTGTTTTGCCGGCAAACAATACTAAGTAAATATGTATGTAAATAAGAGTGTGTATTATGCACACCGTCACGGCGGTAGAAATTTGTGTTTTCAGGTTTTTCAGCTGCACCCCAGCAAACACAGTCTCTAACGTTAGAGAAATTTGGATTTCTACATTAGATAACTAGGGTATTTCTCTAATCGTTCTCGAGTCGATGACGAAGTTAGAGAACTACATTAGAATTCGATTCGAGAACGATTAGAGAAACAACGAAAATTCAAATAAGTGTAAATAAGCAATATTCCAAATGAATGAATCATAATTTTTTTTTAAGTTCAAATAATTCATTATTATTTTATTGCAAATACATTTAATAAAAATTTTACAAACAAAGCGTTTTATTTAATAAAGCAAAATAGCAGTTTGAAATTCAAATTCGAGTCCCATTAGAGATCAACATTAGAATTCGATTAGAGAATTTATATTTTCTCGAGTCGAGAACTATGTCCCATTTTTGTTGAGATTGATATGATTCTCGATAGTTTTTCGAGTCGATCTCAAACGTTTGAGATTGGAGAATGTGGCTAGTTCTCCAATCATTATCTATTGATAACTACCCTCAATGTTTGCTGGGACTGCACTCGCACATTCATAGCGAGCTTTCGCTAAATCTGTATTTCTACACACATAAATACATATGTACACATACAGTAGTTTTCTCTCAGCTTTTGTGCCTATAAAAGCCAC